ATTTGAAATATTAACAAAATCAACTTGTTTGTTAGTCAATTCAATATTGTTTATCTACAAGTATGATTTTTATACTTGTATGAATTCCTAAATTATGTATCTCCTGGTAAAAGTGAATGTTTTTGTTGCGTTCTTACATTAATAGCAGCTTGAATATAGAATCATGTGTTCTGTTAATGGAAATATTTATATTGAATAAGTTTTTTGTACAATATGGTTAGTTGCCTGAGTGGTTAGAACATTAGTGTTCCTGTATAAGATTCAAATTCAAATCTTTGTATGCAAGTTGATTTGTTAGGAGGTTCTTCTTGATAATATTTGTATCCGTGAATAGATGATCCTATGCGCATAGTGGCAGTTTTGAATGCGTCTAAAAGGAGTTTACCACGGAATGATTCAAACAAATGCGTGCTTGAATGGGTGTCTGTAAATAGGATTAGCTTTGTTATGAATAAAGTAGGAGTTTGGAAAATAAGTAGCCAGCCATTGCATTACGTATATTTTAGGTTTACTGATATTGCTATTAAATAAAATTAGGAGTTTGATGCGTGAATAAAGTAGATTTGTGAATGAATAAAGGAGTTTGTGCCCTATAGAAACTTTTTTTTTTGTCTATGTTATCTTGTGATGTATGTTTTTATTGGTGAATATGTTTGACTGATCAATACTTTGAATTTGGGTACATAGTATTGATGAATATAGTATCAAATTAATCTGATAGGCCAGGAGGTTGTATGCTGAATAGCTTAGGAAATTGTATGCTTTTTTTTTAGGAGTTTTTTGATAAATAGTAAGAGTTTGATTTTAAATAGAATATTATTGTTTATTGAAAAAAGTGGTTTGTATGTTTTAAGAAGGCTACATTGAATTTTTAATATGCGTTTTTTCAAGTAGGGGATGATGCGTGAATAAATGAGTTTTTATAATTTTTTTTTATTACTTTGTACTGTTCTTATTGGTAGTTTGTATCCAAAAATAGATAAACTTTTTTCCATTGTCAATAAATGTTGGAAATTTTTCATTTGAATTTTAGTTCCTGTTATATACTAACAGCTGAATAGAAGCCCATTTTGTGAAATCTAAATAAAGTAGAAACTTGTATGCAGAATAAATATCAAGGTTGAATGATGTGTATAAAATAACATTTTAAAAAACTTAGTCAGGAATTAATTAGCAAATAGACTGTAATTTTATAATTGTGAATAGAAATGTAGGGTTTGTAAGCGTGAATAAAATAGACTGCTTTTAATCTATTTTGAATTAAATCTAGAGTTTGTATGCGTGCTCAAAAGATTCTTTGTACAGATCCTAAAACCAATTTTAATAAAATGCTATGTTAATCATTATAATAAAGTAAGATTTTGTTTTACCCTAAATAGAGTAGGGAGTTTTAGGCGCAAATTTAAGATAAGTGTTTTCTAAGGAATAGAGTTAGAAACCTTTTATTTTAATAAAAAGGAGCTTGTATAGCAGTGTATAGTTTTTTAAATTTAATATATTTTTATTTTATTTTTTTATTATTTTGAGGTTTCATTATTTTATAACATGAATTGAATAGGAAATTTGGTATGGGCTTTAGGAATAAAGTGAGAGTTTGATTAAAAATAAACTGATAGATTGTATATATCCATATAGTATCTGCTTGTTGCGAAATAGAACACTGGAGTTTATCTACATTAATAAAATTTGTATGCGTGAATAGAACTTAGTTTTTCTTGCCTGTCTAGGTGAATGTTTAAATAATAGGAGTTTCATGAGAAATGTTGAATTAAGAGACAGTATGCCTGAATAAAGTGGGAGTTTGTAATCTTGAATAAGTAGGAGTTTGAAAAACTGTAAATAGAGTGACAGTTTGTATGTATGAATAAAAAAAGTTTGAAGTCTGTCCAAAAGCTATCTAGTTTGTTGCCTAAATAGAGTAGAAAATTGATAAGCCACGTGAATAGAGTAGGAAATTGTCCATAATAAATGGTGTTTGGATGCGTGAATAGATTTCAGTTTGTATCCGTGAATAGATCAGGTTTTTGTATGCGTTTTGCCATGTTATTTGAAATATTGAATAGATAGGAGTTTGTATTAGAATAAAACCAGGTGTTGCATTTAAATGGTGGTTTATCATTTTTTTTTCCATTGTTTACCTTGGGATTGTTCTGTGTTTGTCTTTTGTTAAAAATACAATTTCTATATTAGGTTTGCAGAACACTTTTCTTGTCCAACTTGTAAGTGAGATGCCTATTAATATTGATGTTTAAGTGCAGCAGTATCTTGTCATTTAGCAATGCCTTGGCTCCTGAAACCCGAAGAGAACAGGTCATTTCGACCTTGACCTTTCGGTTGTGCTCCCCTAACGCTGTTAACCCGTTCAGACTAGTAAGTTACCTTTTCAGTTTACGTAGTCGTAATATACTTTTTAATCATTTTAACTTTTGGTTTTTTTTTACTAAGCTTCCATCTATTTTTTTAGATTTGTTTAACTGTTTGAGAGACCAATTCTCTTGATAGTCTCCCTTAAGACAAGACAGTGACTTCTTGCTAAATTTAGGGTCGGCAACTGAAAACGGTCGGTATGCAGAATTGAAAATCCGTTTTACGTCGACCATAGGGCTGTGTAATAAACTTACGCTTCCATTTCTATTTTTCTGCCAAATTGACGAAGTTTTCTCTTTCGCCTCCTATTCACTGGCTTTAATGAAAATGCTCGGCATTTTTAAAACAAAATCATAATGCACGTCGTCCATAAAAAATTTCCTGTACACTACGTTTGTAATATTACGGAGGTTAGAAAATATCGGACTCGACCGGCAAAATGAAACGCCTGCGCTTAACCTTATGACATGCCCGAACAACAACGCAACGCCATAATCTTTCCTTCCCAACACGTCATGTTGGCATCCCGGCAACGACCAAAATCAACCTCAAACTACAATGACCAGCAGCGATCACCTCACCAACGACCGACATCAACTTCAACTACGGCGATTTTCTGCAACGACCAGCAGCGACCACCTGCATGACCAGCAGCGATCATCATGTAACAACCAAAACTCGGCCATCAATACCTGCACAGGAACTTCTGCATCTCTACCGTTCCGACCACCTTTATTTATTTTTTCAATGAAGAAATAAAAAAAAAAAAATATCTTTATATTTCGTTCCGTCGTCTAACATTTTGTTTCACCTTGTCAGATTTAACGTCCTCGAAAATGACTAAGGGCCTATTTATACCTTCATACATTGGTTTGTATACACCGCTAATGGGTCCACTAAAATCAAGTCAAAATTGTGACACGCGTGGATTCGTTTTCTAAAAGATAACTTTAGTGACTGAATTGTGAATTGGGTTTAAGATGGTGCTTTTTATTTGTTTTGGGAATTCAAAGTATGCTCCAACCCATTGGGCGCGAAAATATCAGCTTTCAACAATTGTTACATGTTTCGACCAATAGGAAGTCGAGATTTTTGTGTTGGTTGGTTAAAACTATTTGATGGAAGAGTGTATTTTATCTTGGAGGTGAGTATGAAATATGGACGATTCTACATTAGGTATATTATGATGGGTGGAACATTCAGAGGGTGATCCCCATTTAAGACGAGGTTATTCTAAAGGGCAGAAATATATCTCGGGAAAACTGTAAATGATTACGTAGTCTATTTCATTTTTTTGAATTATTCTGCCCTTCGGCATAGCCTTCTGGGGGGTTGAAATTTCTCTGACATACCAGGATGATTATTATTACAATTAATTAAGACAGAATAAGCAGAAGTATAAGTTTTTTTTAATGATGAAATTTTGGAAAAAGGGCTATACCTACAGATTTTTTCTTAATTACTTTTCCTTCATATCTTGCTGCGTCGGGCAAAAATAATTATTTTAGTCAGCACACGAGCATTTTACGTCCCGTTAATCCCAGAAATAATGGACTGTTTTTTTTTTTTTTGATAGAAAGAGACAGAAAATGCATATCAGAGACGCTACTTGGACTCAGTAGAAAAAATGAAAGAAAGAAAGAAAGAAACGCTCTGCTATTGTAACACATAAATAATGGACTTTTATTTTGATCGTGAGGGGAAGAATTTGGTCTCCGTGAGAAAAAAAGAACGAAAAAGAATGAAAATAAAAAAAACAACAGGAAAACCATTTTACGAGTACAACTAGTAAAATTAGGATAAAAGGTAAAAAATAAATAAATAAAATAATAATAATTTATCGAATGAATATTTAAATATCTCATTAAAACAAAATAAAATATCTTACCTTCCCTTGGAACCATTTAATATTTTTAAAATAAATTTAAGACCGTTAATTTGAGAGAAAAGAAAAAGAAAATTCTTATTTACTTTTGTTGAAATGACAGGCGTTTACAGTATTTACATGCTGACTATTGTTCATCTTTGTTGTTTTTATATTTTTACGTTTCAGGCGTTGTACACTTGGTCTTCATCAGGAAATTGTCGATCCGGGTAACCTTGAGGGATTATGAACCCTGATTTAACTTACAGAGGTAGCCTGTTCTCATTCTGCTGACCATGTCTGGGGAAATTTATTACTGCCCAGTTAATACCCGCCCTGTTTACACTGTGATTAAAAAGGACTGTACTCGCAATTAACATAAATTTTAATCCACTATGCTATCTTCCTTAACACAAACGCTATTTCACAAAAACGTATGAATTTTTAGTGACTTTTACATCTATAAAAATGCGAATTTTAGTGTAATTTTTCAACTTTACTCCTACAGGCTGGCAACATATGATACCATTTTGGAATCAGGCCGAGACTCTGTGAGTTCAAAACATTTCGGGCCGGATCCAGACACGCAATTCTGAAATTTTGATTCCCAATTTTTTCATTACAAATTGTTTTCAGACTCAGGCATTTTGGCTTCTACTAAAAAAACAATTAAAACATAACTCTCTAACTTAGCTCATATTCAAATGGAATAATTACTGTTCTCAAATTACAGTGTTTCAAAAAAAATTGTCCGAATTCAACTTTACTTCTAGAGATAGTAGCCGAACTGTGGACATGAAAATGAGACTAACCTCAGTTCTCGGCATAAGAGGGTTCGTTTGTGTCTGGCGTGTAGGGCAGTAATTGGTCCGAAGAAAGAAACACCACCATTACGGTGAGTCGGACTTATGGAAACGCGATCTCGTAGCCGCGAGGATTGGCGAGAGGAGAACTTGGGCGTATGCAAATTGGTTGGTGTTCGCTGGGATAAATGTGACGGCGGGAGACCACTCGAGAGAGTTGTGTGTAGCGAACTACGAGGCGGTGTTGGAACATTTGAGTGCAAAGATCTGTGGAGTTTTTGTAGCTGGATTGTAGCTGTCGTGAAGCTGAGGAGTGTTTCCGGAAGTAGGTGGTGCCGGGCCAACCCGTTCCCTTCCTATTGTTTGGACCTAATTTTAATACAAGCTATTTCGGCATAATGGGGGACAGATTCGACCTGAAATTGATTCCGGAGTTCGATGGCTCAACCCCGGTACTTGTCTGGGGGAAAAAGTGGAACTGCATTGCCTCTGTCTGGCATAAAGAACATTGAACACGTGATTCCTCTGCGGCTGTCTGGCGGGGCTTTCGCTGTGTATCAACAGCTCAGTGTTGAGGAAAAAAACAGAATTATAAGAGAATCAAGGCAGCACTATACAAGGCGTTTGCTATCGACCCCGCCACTGCATGGGAACAATTCGAGGCAAGAACTTTACTTCCAGGCGAAACTGTCGACGTGTATCTGGCCGAGCTGACGAAGTTGACGGTGTTGTTCGGTGGGCTGCCCGAGCGGGCCTTGGCATACAAATTTCTGGCAGGGCTCCCAACCGGAGCAAAGCAACTCCTGCGAGTGAGCTCAAGCATAGACTCGTTGTCCCTTAATGACCTGGTAGACCGGGCCAGGACCGTGATGAAAGATAACTCTGAGGTGAGAGAACCGGTAGTCGCCGCTGCACAGTCCACGCCGAGTGATGATAGACCGTATCAGGGGCCCAGCCCCCGTGGTGGGGTCGTATGTTATAGGTGCGGTGGCCAGGGCCACATTGCGAGGAACTGCAGGAGGCGACTGACAGCTGTTCGCTGCTACCGGTGTAATGAGACTGGACATATGGTCCGGGATTGTGCGGGAAACGGGGCCGGGGACAAGGTGCCAGCGTCGACCTCTTCCCCAAGCAGAAATTAGATGAGGCGCTTCCGATCATTCAGGTCTATATTAATGAGACATTGTGCTCAGCACTCCTCGATTCCGGTTGCTCCCGCACCATAGTGTGCGCGGACCTCTGCCGCACTTGGAAGAAGAGGAGTGTCAGGGTGACCACCATCAGTGGAGAAACACGAAGGTGTTGCGGGGTGGGCGCGGTGAACATCCGTACAAGAACTGGAAACTCGGCCAACATCGAGGCGCTAGTAGTGCTCGAAAAACCACTGAGTTTTGACCTGCTTCTAGGCTATGATGCCATCAGAGCTTTAGGTGGTGTTCACATAACGCAGACGGGGGCAGTACAGTTTCAGGAGAGGGCCCCAGTGTGCGCCGCTCTGAGGATCGACCAGCCGGACTTTAGTGTCGAATTTGACCAGCAGCAGAAGACTTGGACCACCTCATGGAGGTGGTCGGAAAACCAGGAACCAGCCAAACTGCGGAACGAGGTAGCCGAGTACCATGTGCCCGATCAAATAAGGCCTGCATACGAAGGGGAGCTCCGTGAATGGATCAAGGATAGCTGGTTGATTCCTTACCCCTATGAGAAACTTGGACCTCCCAAAGGCCTGATCCCGCTGATGGCGGTTGCTCAGCACAATAAAGCAAAGGTGAAGCCAGTGATGGACTACCGCGAACTAAACGCGCATGTTGATGCGTTCACGGCAGATGCTGACGTTTGTGCCAGCAAGCTACGAGAATGGCGCCAGCAGGGTTCCAATGTGTCCCTGCTGGATCTAAGAAAAGCGTACCTGCAGGTCCGGGTCAGCGAGACGATGTGGCCGTTTCAGACGGTGGAGTTTGCCGGCAGGAGGTACTGCCTTACTAGGCTGGGCTTCGGGCTGAACGTGGCACCCCAAATAATGAAGACCATCGTCAACGCTGTGTTGTCACAGGAAGAAACAATAAAAGAGGGGACATCGGCGTACCTTGATGATATATATGTGAACGAAGACGTTGTGTCGTCATCACGCGTGAGGTCCAAACTGGCTGAGTTTGGTCTGACTTGTAAGGACCCAGAACGTTTGGAGGATGGCGCCCGTGTCTTGGGCCTGAACGTTCAACAGGAGCGAGAGACCTTAAAATGGGGGCGCGGAACTGCAGTTCCTGAAGTACCCGATGTCTTCACGAGGCGAGCTATATTCTCCCTGTGTGGAAGACTTGTGGGGCATCTACCAGTGTGTGGATGGACTCGTGTGGCAACAGGCACCATAAAAAGAAGGGCAAGCGCAGTCACCAAAGGCTGGGACGATGAAACAACGGACGATCTGTTGGTTCGCATGGTGAAGGAGACCATCGCAAGGGTAAAGCAGGATGATCCCGCCAAAGGAGACTGGTGCGCAGGGAGACGAACTGAACGTGTGGGTGGATGCGAGCTCTCTGGTGATTGGTGTGCTGTTGGAGAATAATGGGGCTGCGATTGAGGACGCCTGCTGGTTGCGACCGGTGAATGACGCTGCTCATATCAACCTGGCAGAGCTCGATGCGGTGATAAAAGGCATCAACCTGGCACTCCAGTGGAAAGTCAGGAAATTACACATACACACTGATTCGCTATGTGTGTACCACTGGATATCGGACACACTGACAGGCAAGGCCAGGGTGCGTACCAAGGCGGCTAGCGAGATGCTGATCAGACGGAGGTTGGAGACCATAAGAAAGCTGGTAACAGAGTACAACCTATCTATGGATGCGGTGCTTGTCACCTCAAACTGCAACCTTGCTGATAGGCTCACTCGTGTGCCACAGAGATGGTATGGCGCCATGAAGAAAGAAGCTGAGCCAGTGCCGTTACTATGTGCTGCCTCTGTTGAGGCGGCGGACAAAATCAAGGAGATACATCACAACAGTGGGCACCCCGAGTGAGACGGACATGCTATTTTGTACAGTTGACCAATCCGTCAGTGTCCAAAAGTGAAGTGAGAGCGGTGGTGAAGGAATGCCAAACATGCCAGTCAATCGACCCCGCCCCAGCTAGATGGCGGAAGGGTCGGCTGGGGTAGACACGACTTGGGGCCGACTGGGTATGGACATAACCCATTACGGCAGTCAGCATTTCTCACACTGATAGATTGCGGACCGACGAGGTTCGCGATCTGGCGCCCATTATTAAGACAGGACTCATCCAGTGTCATCCGTGAATTGGAGTCCATATTTTACGAAAGGGGGCCGCCTGAAGAGATCCTTACGGATAACGACACGGCCTTCTGCAGTGGGGAGTTTAGACGTTTCGTAGACGATGTGCATATGTGCCGAGTGGCAACGGCATAGCAGAGCGGTGCCACCGAAGCGTGAAGAGGATCGCGGCCAGGAAGCAGTGCACGATAGCAGAGGCGGTCTATAGATATAATGCAACACCAAAGGATGCCGTGACTGCTGCAAGCGCACCCGCCAATGCAATCCATCACTACCAAGTGCGCAACAAGGGCATTGACGCGTGTCTGCCTGATCGGCGGGAAACACGAGGGCCGTATAAGTTAGGGGACACCGTCTGGGTGAAGCCTCCCAATAGCCGGTGCACCACCAGCTTTCAAAGAAAACGAATCACCGGCATCGTCAATGAGCAAGCAGTGCTGGTCGATGGTACTCCACGCCATGTGAAGGATGTCCGGCCCGCCCTAAATACGAACCAGTTGACTAGTAGCAGCAGTGGTGAATCATCCAACGATGAACTGTGGATCCGACCTATGCCCCTCGGGCCTGATGGTTTGACTGCGGAACCCGACGCTGATGCTGATAGTTCTGACGCCCCTTCTGAGAGCCCCGATGAAGAAGTCCAGACAATCCCCCATTCGTAGGAGTGCCCGCAACAAACGACCACGTCCGCAATGCCACATGTGTGATCTTGAGACCAGGGGGAGTGGACATGAAAATGAGACTAACCTCAGTTCTCGGCATAAGAGGGTTCGTTTGTGTCTGGCGTGTAGGGCAGTAATTGGTCCGAAGAAAGAAACACCACCATTACGGTGAGTCGGACTTATGGAAACGCGATCTCGTAGCCGCGAGGATTGGCGAGAGGAGAACTTGGGCGTATGCAAATTGGTTGGTGTTCGCTGGGATAAATGTGACGGCGGGAGACCACTCGAGACAGTTGTGTGTAGCGAACTACGAGGCAGTGTTGGAACATTTGAGTGCAAAGATCTGTGGAGTTTTTGTAGCTGGATTGTAGCTGTCGTGAAGCTGAGGAGTGTTTCCGGAAGTAGGCGGTGCCGGGCCAACCCGTTCCCTTCCTATTGTTTGGACCTAATTTTAATACACGAACATACATATAATATTTTGGAATCAGGTCGATGTTCTGAGCCGGATCTGGACCTACAATTCTGAAATTTTGGATTCCCAAGTTTTCATTACTGTGATTGTTTCAAGTGATTTTTTGCGACGAATTTTTTTGAACGATGACAATTTTTATAACTTGGAAATAAATTTTTGAATAATCGAAATTAATTGCGAAATCTAGCGAAAGTCACTCATAAAATAAGAAATAATTGTTTGTACGGAAAGTAAGGACCTACGTACATCAAATTGTCTTTAAATTAAGTGGCAGTAGAAGAATTACCTTTGAACTTTTAAAAGGTAAGCTTAAATATTAATTCAGTACTTAAATGAAGCGATCAGTACTAATACCCATCGGATCAAGGTACCACACACGAATCTTCAGATGAATTTGTGCAGTGTGACACTATTTAGCTATGGTAATTGGCTAACTAATCATCCATATAAATTAAAAACAGGAAAGACTTAAGGCGAGAAAGAGCTATATCGAAAGATAGACTGATCGACGTTAAAAAAAATATTTTATTTTATTTACGAAAAAAGTTACTTTTCGTACGAGACAGAAAATCCGTAAGAAGAAAAAGCGAGATATGAGATTCTGTCAAAACTGATTAATGTCCTGATAAGTGAGTGACGCGCTAAGGAAAACAGAATTCAGAAAGAGAGGCAGAGCCGGCCACACAAGGCGGCCATAAAAAAACATTTTGGCTCGAACAAAGCCGCGGTACAAGCGGGGAGAATCGATATTAATTATCTTTCAGAGATATCATTTAATTTTAATTCCTGGTTCCAGCGAAGGAAGCCATCTGGGATATGCACGAATCTTGGCATGAGAACAGAAATCGTAAAGGGGATCATTATTATTGCTTATTCAAACTGTTGACTTCAGACATAGCGTCTCGAAAATGAGCATCTGGTGATAAAAGAATTTTAAGGCATGAGAAAAATAAAGAATTTGATTCTCAGGTAAACATGACCATCCAGTTAAAAGTTGACTAGCGGAGAGACCAGGTTTCGGGTTTTGATAGTGATTAATGAGCCGGTAGAGGTCTGGGCTAAGTGGATTTTGGGTGTCCCCAAAATCAAGATGTGATAAGAATTATTTGGTAATCTGGGATTTGTAAATGTTTTGGCTGAAGGAAAAGGAAAGAAAAAAAAAAAGGATTTTGTAAACAAAATTCTGGATAATAATTTTAAGAGGGCCAGTCTAGCCACACTCACACTGCCGAGAGATCATTGGTCAAGTGGTAGCATGGGTGATAGGCGAATGTGAATGAGAAAGACGGAGAAGTTGTTAACACCTACTGAGGGGATTGGTATGAGATACCAATGTGAGAGAGGAAGAGTCTAGGAGGATAGCTCTCCTCCGACCTTCCCTCACGGACGTGGGAGGAACCCCCAAAGTGGAAAGTGATTAATCTTCCAAAAATGGGAAGTAATTAATTTTCCTGGCCTAAGAACAAAGAGAATTCTTGTTGGGAATTGAGAATTATCAAGGAACCTAAACCACGTCAGGCCCCCACACCGGGTTTTGGTTGATGTCCATATAAACGAACGTCTCGAGGCAGCTGAGCAGTCAGTTCGAGTTTGGAGTTAGTTCGAGAAGTTGGAGAGTGTTGCCTCGCAGAAGCTGACCGAAAGATTTCCACGTCCTTTTCGACTTAGCCTTCCTACTAAAAGCAAGTTATATTGACGAACGACTTAAGATACCAAAACTCGCTTAACATATTTAAATCGATAGTATCGATCTTTGCCGATATCATTAAGATTATACTTACCGTCGTGCCGTGAACGATGCCTTGAGGACCAATGTAACAATAACTTCCTGCCGTCATCTGTCCGTACCTGAAAAAAAGTAAACATTAGTGATAACCCTGTATGTGCTTATGAATATATAATCTTTTGTAAACACACGTCCTTGTTAAGACTGTAGAGGTGAGAAGCTCCCAGATTGTAATGCAGAGGTTGCTGCTTTTTGACGGAAGTGTTACGTGACAACTTGTAAAAAAAACGAATTCCTATATGATACCTAGACGTCATGGATTTAAGTGAAATACTAGATTGGCAGTTAGGTCTCATCATTTTACAGTTGAAATGGCTAGATGCTTAAGGAACACCTCTAGCGACAGTTTTTTTGGCAATGTCAAGTGGGATAGCCCACAAGTTTTCTGTTAGGAACTATCATTTCACAAAAAAAGAAAAGGAAGGCTGTTTAAAGAATTATAAACATGAAAACAAAAAGAAAATTAAATCTTAATCAGAATATTTCATTCTTCATCGCCCTGTAAATGGTACAGTAACAAAGGTGGCGGGAATTCATAATCAAATTTACAATTAAAATAGAAAAACAATAATGACAAAAACAATAATAATAAAATAAAAGCAATGATGACAAAAACAACAATAATAAAACAATAATAATAAAAGTAATAATAACAAAAACAATAATAATAAAGTTATCTTACAAAAACAACACAAATAATAAATAAAAACTGTTCAAAAAAACTAAACAAGAAAGAATTATAAAAAAATATTTCTTTGTGTTGCAAAAGATCTTTTAGGTTTGGTAAAAAAAACCTTCGAGTCTTTCTTAGAATCTCAGAAACATGTTAAAATAATTACTTGAAAGGAGACACGCTCGGAAGATTGGAAAGTTGACTCAAATGGCAAGAGAAACTGAGTCAAAGTAGGAATCGAAGATGGTCGTCATCATACTTATTATAAAACCCAGGTTGTGTGTGTCTGTTCGTTTATATATTGGATCGGATTTCCTACATTTTTCATCCGATTTCAAAAAAACTTCACAGAACTACGTAAAATTACCTTGCGGTGGTTCTGACAGCGCCAAAAATTAGAAAAACACAATTGTTTTTACACAAAATCAATTTGTGAACACGATTAAGAGGCATCACTGTCGCCAGAATGAAAGGGGGACAACTCATATCGAGTTATACTTATTATAAAACCCAGGTTGTGTGTGTGTGTGTGTGTGTGTGTGTGTGTGTGTGTGTGTGTGTGTGTGTGTGTTTATATATGGGATCGGATTTCCTACATTTTTCAACCGATTTCAACAAAACTTCACTTTTTTTTTTTGGCAGGTAGTGTTTCTTATTGTCTTGCACACTTTTTTCTTTATTTTTACATTCAGAATGCTTTAAAAATTCCATTTACAAGACAATTGTTTATAATAAAATTCTATTCAATCGGTAGACCCATAACGATTGAAAACAATGTTTTTGTTTGAGCTTGGGTTTGACCAATTCGTAAAAAAAAAAAAAAAAAAAAAAACTAATTAAGACATGCGTGTCCGTCAACCTTAAACAATAATCTTTGTCAATTTTATTTTTCAGTCTTTATGATGGTGGATACTTGATCTATCTCTTACTGTTACATCCCCGGGCAACGCCGGGCTCTACTGCTAGTATTTTACTAAATTCGAATTATCCTTTCAACTTGGTAGGAATAAAGATATTTAACTTCTGCTGCTTTCGTTAAAGATAACACCATCTTCTTTGCTGTTGATGGTTCTACATACTGGCGTTGGATTATTTCGTCCTCTTAGATATCCACCATCATCTAATGCCTCCACCTTCTTTCACGTTTCTGGGAACCGTTATTTTTTGTCGGGCTTTTGCTTTGAGCCTTCGCTTTTCTAATTTTCATACCTGGATCTTCATCACGATTACAAGTTCTAGGAGAACCACATATATTTTAGCAGTGGCTACAATTGGTGTGTTTTGACCAAAATAATCTGGCGGAGACACCATCCCTCTTCAGGCTGAATTTGAATTCAAAGTTTTCCTTCTAGAGTGTTAGCTCAATTAAGGATAAAGAGCTTACTAAATCCTGCTATTTAAACCCATATCAAGGGGATGATGGATTCATGACTTTTTCAAAGGCATTATTGCTAAGCGAAAGAAACAGACTCGGTTTGAATTCAAACTCGACACACTGATTTTACTCCCAACACCAATAACAGTTACATTAGCTTCATATCCAATTTTACAGTTGCCAAACAATTTCTTTCTTCTGGTAGAAAATCACTTAAAGATGGCAAAAGCAGCGGCTATATCCTCCATCTTGTAAAATGTCTGCTTTACTTGTTATCTTAAGGTAATGATATAAACATTCTGGGTATTAAAAAGGTAGTTGATGTTTAAAAGGCAGTGTTTTGTTTAAGTTTAAGCACCGTTTTATTTTTTAAATATTTACTTTCAAGAAAAATAATCAATTCGACACATTCCTAAATATAATTAGGGTCACTTTCTCTCAATGCAAACGCATACACACATGTCAGTTTCTTTTTTTTAACCCTTTGTGTCCTGTCCACTGCTTTACCGTTGGTAGAGAAAATGACGTAATTGTAGAATCTCCCACAACACAACCAGCCTTACCTCTTTGTAGGAAATACACTCTTCCTATCTAGTAAGCCAAATTCTACCTTCAGACAATATAACAAGTATTCATTGGTCAATCACCTCCAATCTGGCTTGCTGATTGGTCAGTTCCGACCAATCAAACCGCCTGCACGCGACCAAGCTGTTTTCCCGCTCTTATGCTGGGAGCCACTCAGTGATTATATAAACCGAAAACGTGTGAACCTTCCGAGCAGTAATTACCAAGTTTCAAGATGTAACATTCACCGACTCCCATCTTAGTCATTGCTGACCAGACGTTAAAGACAATTATCAACTTCATACAGTCAGTAACACGCATTCACAGAGAACTTTCCAAAATACTCCACGTCACTACGAATCACGATCTTGCCGCGCAAAAAGATACATCGCTGACTCATACTCGATCAAGATTCAATCAACTCTGTGTACATCATTTCTCAACTTTGCTTATCTAAAGTGAATCAAATTCACTACTTATTAAGTAAACTCTACGAACGAACGACCTTGGAAAAATATTACAGTTAAAAGGTAGATCACTCTTAAAAAACTCTTTCTATAAG